CCTTGCCCTTGCCAAGACGGTTGTAATTGCCAGTAAGTGTATTTCTTTCCACAAAACGACTCCGTAAATGCTACAATTGTGTACTTCTTGTGGTGACCAATTTTAAACATCGGAACTGCTCATTTGTCCCGAGTCTTGCTGGATAGCGACAGCCTCATGTTGGCCTCTCCTGTTTCTATTACAGGAAAAGAGGGGACCAAGAAATCAGGGTGAGCCTGAGCCCCAAATTCCCCAGTGAGCTTGTTAACCACAGCTGAGGGCTGCCATCTCCTGGGTCCCTGCGTGCAGCCCCGGCAGAAATGCACTTTAGGAAGGACTAACCCGCTCAGGGCGCTGAGAGCAAGGAGACCCCGGGGGAGGAGGAGCGTGAGGTCAGATGGGAGCCTCCCACCAGGCAGGGGCCAGGGGGCTGGCTGGCTGGCATGTGCTGTCTTCTTGGGGGCCAAGCAGGTGAGTGGGGGGAGCCGTTCCCTCATGCAAGCCCTCCCGTCGGGCTCAGGCTGACTGCGAGTGGCTAGCTCTTTTCTTCAGGGCCAGTGATGGGGTCCACAAGTGAGTTGCCGCCCGCCCTGCTCAGGAGGCACCCTGGGAGCCCAGGGTTCAGTGGGAGGCAGCGACACCCTGCCCCTCGTGTCCGTGGCTCTGCCCAGCTTCTGGTCTGGCAGGCCCACCGGCAGGCATACCTGCACTGCCCAGAACAGCTTTCAGCAGAAGCAAGAGCTGGGAAGCGCCCTGGGTCCGCTCAGGCTATGACAACAAAACACCCCATACTGGGTGTCTTATGAACCACATGAGTCTGGTTCTCATGCTTCTGGGGGCTCAGCGTCCAAAATCAAGGGGACAGCCCGTCTGGTTCCTGGCGGGAGCTCTGGTCACGGTTCGCAGACGGCTGCCTTCTCACTGTGTTGTCACTGGGCGCAGAGAGAGGTGCACAGGGCAGACAGGAGGAGGGGAGGGGAGGGCCGGGAGCCTGGCCCTCTGCTATAGAAGGCCACTAGTCCCAGGACTGGAGCTCCACCCTCAGGACCTAATCATCTCCCACAGGCCCCGCCTCCCAACACCAGCACCCCGGGAATTCAGTTTCAGCATCAGCACTCCTGATGGGCTCCAACAGTCCCCAGGGAAGCTTTCGACCAGCATCCGCACAGGTGATGTGTGTCAGCATGTGCTCGGGCTTGAGGAAAGGACAGCTCACTGCCCTGGGCCCGCCGAGGGTCTGGGTCTCCTGGATGTGAGGCGGGGCCGAGGTCCCTTTGAGCCCTGGGTTAGGATCAACCCTGTGTGACCAGCCTAGGGACTGTTATTCCAGATCATTAGACAAAAAGGGAAAGGACCCTTTGCCCAAGGAAGGAGACAGGGAGAAGTTGGGTGGGAGAAGCAGGAGACGTTATATCCCTCCGCCCACCCCCCTCACCCCTGATGCCAGCCTTGGGCCCTCACGTGGCTGAAAATAACTAGAGGTTACAGAGCTCTGGAGGCGTGCCCACACACACCGCAGACAAGGGACTCCAACTTTAACGCATTCACAGGTGGGGAAATTGAGGCAGAGAAAGGTGAACTACCCTGCGCTGGCCCCTGCAGGAGTGGAAAGGGACAGAAGCCGGCCCAGAGCACTTGGAGGGGAAGCAGATGGAAGGGTGGGCACATTCCACAGCCTAGGGACGTCTCCTGAAACAGGAAGCAAAGCTCCTGGACCTCCCGATCATGTCAGGGGCTCCATCAGGAAACTCAAAGTGGGGACCCCAGGCAACGGCCTCTGCTCAGGGTTCACATCTTCCCGGGGATTTCTCCTGAAGCTTTGCCGCAGAACGAAGTACATCCCACTGGCAAAACGCACGTGGAGGGTCGGGGCCCACGTCAGGATCAAAGACTTCTGCACACATTCCAGAGTCCAAACGCCGGGACAACTTATCCCTGTTACCACCCAGAGTGGCCTTTGTCTGCCCACAGCAGGGTACCCATGTGGTAAGAGGAAAGGCTCCTTTATATGGTCCTTGTTTTCTGAAAATTCCAGCCAAACTCCCCCCACCAGCTGCACCAAGAGCAGCTTACAAATCAAAGTTTAAAAAAAAAAAAAAATAGCTGATCTTCTGATAATTTAACATCCGGCATTCATCCGGGGCAGCTGGGCCGGCTGGAGTTGAGCATGGTGCTGAGGCAGGTCTGGAGGACTTCTTGGAGGTGGCACATCTGTGAACTGCTGGCTACTCCCTCCCTGTGAGGAGATGAGAACTGGGATGGTTTAGAAATGTGTGTGGCCGGGGCGCCTGGGTGGCTCAGTGGGTTAAGCCTCTGCCTTCGGCTCAGGTCATGATCCCAGGGTCCTGGGATTGAGCCCCACATCAGGCTCTCTGCTCGGCGGGGAGCCTGCTTTCTCCTCTCTCTCTCTGCCTGCCTCTCTGCCTGCTTGTGATCTCTGTCTGTCAAATAAATAAATAAAATGTTTAAGAAAAAAAAAAAAGAAATGTGTGTGGCCATGTGACATTAAGGGACCATCCAAAGCCTTCCAAAGCCTTCCTGACCAGCTTCTATCATGTAGTCAGGAACCCCTACAACTTCTGGGCAGTTACTGTGGGTCTCAATGGTAACCCAGCAGGCATAAAGTCTGGAATCATTTCATCACAAGAAATTTGAAGCATGATTACCAAGACACGTGCTGAAAATGGACTTGTGATGCGCGACCGGAGGTCAGTGAAGCACCCTGTGCACTAATGTGGGTAAAACTGAAGAGGGGGAGCCCGCACCTGCTGGGCATCCTCCTCTGAGGACACAGCTCGAGACAGTCTTCTGCACTTGCTCCGTCAGGTCGCAGGAGATGATCCCACGTGCCACGGTGAACGTACTAAATAGCGACATAGCAGTGTTTGTTGATTATATTATAGAAAAGCATGATTTTGCAAGGGTGTGAAAGTGTTTAAAACACAGAAACCAAACCACCAGAGATATTTTCGGAGTCTGCCGTTTCATGGAATTCTCCAGATGGGCTGGGAAAGGGGGCACTCGTGTGTGTGCGCATTTGCACATGTGTAAGAGTGTGTGTGTGTGTGTGTGTGTGTGTGTGTGTGTGTGAGAGAGAGAGAGAGAGAGAGACAGAAGGGTGGTCAAACACAGGGAAAATGGATAAAACTGCTCCTTTTCAGCAATAAGCACACCATTGAGTGGGTAATTACATGTTGCATCATCTCTATGATAAACAAAAACATTTGTTTCCATTTTGGTCTGAATGAAAAGGAACATTTTCCCTTTCCTGAGCCAGCTTTGCTGCCTGGTCAGAGGGCTCAGAGCCAAGGCTACTGAGGGCTGCAATCCCAGGGTCAGCCCTCTGGAGACTCCTTTGCTGTCACGTTGCAAAAGCCAACTGTTTTGGGACACAGACTGCAGAGCCCCTGTCCCTCCCTCCATCGCTTGCCCTTCATGTCACACCCGATTTCATGTCAACCTCACTCCAGACAGAAGCTGACCAGTGGGTTCGCAGGCTTCCAAGACACTCTCCCCCTGCAGAAAGAGCCCTGGAGACACAGGAGTCCCCGCTCAGTGGACAGAATCCGATTCTCTTCCTATAGAATCTACTAGTCCAAGGGCAGAGCATCAGACGAGTTCTAATGTACCTTCTGCCACAATAGAGACTGCCCTGGCTTTTTCTTTCCACCAAAGACTCCAGATGCAGAGTGAGTCATTCACACACATGACTAGAGGGCCCTTGGGAAACTCTGCCCATGGTGACAGTGAGGGCAGGACGGCAGGTGACATGGGCACTCAAATAGGAGTGCTAGGGAGTCACAGAACCCAGAGCTTTCCAGGCTGTCGACTTTCTCTCCCCGGAGACGTTCCCAGTGAGCCCAGGGAGGGCCCGGGGTGGGTTCTGGAGAAATGCGTCCAAATGAACACAGGCACGCCATTCCCCTTTGTCCGCCCCGGGAAGGACTGGGCGAGGAAAAGAGAAATCGCTTGGAATTTGTCAATCTGTGATTTTTTTTAACTTCACATCACTTTGTCTACTCTGATTTGTAAGCCATCAACAATTTCCTTCTCATCTCCTTGCATCTTTCTTGACTTACCTTTGGGGGGACCAGCTGGTGACCTGTGGTGCACCTGTTACTCCCCCCCCACCCAGGTGTGGAATAGAACTGAGCTCCCTCCCGGCAGAGCCTGGCTGGCTCCCCTGGCTTCACCCGCCTGCCCAGGCAGGGACCGCAAGGACCTTCATGGGGCCTCCACTGTTGGCATTTCAGGGACAGGAAGGAGCTAGCCTCTGACTCCGCCTGAAGCCAAAGCCTGACCTTCCTGACCTTGGCACCCGCGCTGCTTCAGCTTCTCTGAGACAGAAGACCGATGTACTGAGGTGAGCATTAAAGTGCTCCCTAAAACACAATCTATAAAATCAATGCGCCTCTCAAAACGAAAACTGCTATCTGTTGTCCTTATCCATCCTCTCATGACAAATGACATTTCCTAAAGATGCAACTTTTGGTTTTTATTGTATGTAATTCCAGATTCCAAATTCCAGCTCGGCCAGTTGTCCCAGAAGGCACGCCGGGAAACCCCCTTCCCCTACCCCAGAGCCTCGCACACTCCCCTGCTCACACTCACACGGCAAGCACACGCCAGAACAACTCACACTCATGTGCACTCTCACGCACACACACTCATGTGAGTGCACCTGTGCCAATACCTACACTTGCTCGTGGGCACACACACGTGCACGTTTTGGAAGGCGGTGATGTGGGCAGGGAGGCGAGCTGGAGCTCCCGGTCTCACGGCGAGCACCGGCACCTTCTGCACAGCAACGGCCCCTCAGGTCCGCGCTGCTCCCTGACGGAGAGGCTCCAAACAGGAACCGCTCTGTGCCCACCTCCCTCCTGTCATCTTTAAAGGGGTGACGGCCCGAGGCAGGTGGTAGCCCCACAAGACAGAACGAGGCCAGGCTGGGAGGGAAGAGGTGGCCTCGCGGCGGCCCGCAGGGAGTCCGCAGACGAGCAGGGGCGCACCTGCCGGGCCGGCGCTGGCCTAGAGGAATGTTCCTCTTTCCAACAACCTGCTGGAGGGAACCCGCCCGAGGCTACCGCCGCCGCTACTCCTCTGTGTCCTGCAGTTCCCTCTGCGTGGCTCTGAGGAGGTGCCGAAGCTTCCGGAACACGTCGGGGGCTGCTCTCGGGGGGCTGCGCGCAGTGCTCCGGGGGTCCGCACATTCCTGCACCGCCTCCCGCAGCTGCCGCTGCAGCGGGAAGGACAGGGCCGAGCTGCCGAGACTCGAGGAGAACCAGTGGCGGAAGATCTTGTCACAGATGACCTGAGGGACGGCAGACGGGGCAGTCAGTGCAGGGCCGCGAGCCCCCCGCCCCCCACTGTGCCTGCAGGGAGGCCTCTTCCCGCAGGGGCAGGGGGTGTCTGATCCCAAAGCTGCCGTCCCTTCCAGCAGCAGGACAGGAGTCCCACGCCCAGCCCTGAGCACACAGGGAGGGCCCAGGTCACCGAATACACCTCCCAAGAGGGAGCAGAAAGTGCTGATGACCCGTTGCCACGTGAGGAGCAGCCCCTCGGCTAAGTCACCATGACCCTGAGGACTGGCTCGGCCATACGTGGGCCACGCAACGGGCAATGCCCACCGCACAGGGCTGTCCCAAGGGTCCGCGGATGTGTCGTTGGCAACCAGGATCACACGCTGAGACATGTGGAGAAAAGACTGTCCAGGAAGGGACTGTCCTGGAAAGGAACCCTTTTATTTCAGGAGCAGAAGTGAAAAATTCAGCCAACATCTCACAGCCGAGAGTTCTAACAGGACACGAACTGCCCCTGAATCTGCAGATCTCCTGAAATCCTGAACACACGGCCTGTTCCCACAGCTTTCCCAGGTCCCCCATGCTGGGCAGGCTCCTCCCAGGGGCGCGTAATTAATGGGCTTTATTTTTCTGTGTCACGCTGTCTTGGACTCACTGAACAGAGGCCTCTGTGTTGTAAAGCTACTTTTCACAGAAGACAAGCAACGAACTTCTGCTTCCCACTCCCTGCAAGGGCAAAGACTCTTTTTAAAAAGAAATTACTGTACAATATATCATTAGTTTTGATTTAGTGTTCCATGATTCGTGGTAGGGTGACTAATGTAATACAATTTTTTTTAAAAAAGGAAAAAATACATAAATAAATAATAAAAACAAATTACCTTAGTTCTGTTTTATTTGCTAATCCATACGCGAAAATGTTCAATGTCCCCGAGGACAGACCATATGTCAGTCCTAGGTCTCATGCTGCTCCCGACTCTGGGAGCCGATCCCTTCCTTGAATATCCTTCTAGACAGAGTTCGTGCACAGAAGCCTATGCACACTTCTCCCTTCCCTTCCACTTTGCACAAAGGCGGTCTACTACACACTTCCTCAGCTTCCATTTCCATTTAACCAAACCCCAGGGAGAGACATGGAAATGTCAGTTCTTACCGGGATTTCCTGTTCGCTTTGATGACTGCACCTCAAACGTGTGGGAAGATCATAAATTATTTAACTAGTTCCCTACTAGTGGAAATTGAGGCTGTTTACTAACTTTTGCTGTTATGAACAATGCTACAAGAAATATCTTTCTTGTATGTGATTTTCACTTTGCCCATGAGAATAAATTTCTAGAAATGGAATTTCTGGGCCTAGTGGTATGTACATTTTTTGTTTTAATAGATATTGCCCAATCAACCCCGTGAAAGTTGTACTGAGATACGCTCTCACAGCAACGTACAATGAGAACAGTTGTCTTCCCCACGGCCCAGCCAACACGTGTGTTATCTTTCATTTTTGCCAACTGATGGATGAAAATGGTTTAATTTGCATTGTTCTTAGCCCTCAGGTGAAAGCTATTTGTGTTTCCTTTCCAATGAATGGTCCAGTTGATGTCCTTCGCTCACATTTGCATCAGACTGTTGGCCTTCTTCATATTAATTCGCAGACACTCTTCATATTGTAAGGACATCCCCTCTGGCTGGCTTTGGCTGGCTTTCTGGAGCGCGGACTCTAAGAGAGAAGTTTGCAGGTGTGTTCCTGGGAACCATGCCTCCATGGACTTGAGGGAGAAGGAAATCTTCCGGTGTTCCTTACTGAGGCCGGACACTGGGCTTTGCGTAGACCCCTGCTCCCACCGACCAGTCCCTGAACGCTGCCACTGGCACGTGGAGTAGCCACAGCAAAGAAGGTCCGCTGGGGAAGGAAATCCTGGGGGACAGTCTCTGAGCCCCGACAGCAGCTGGCACGTGAGGACCCCGCGGTCTTCTGCTCTCCTGATCTGTACCAGCAATTGCAAACGTTTTACCCATTTTCTCATTTAACTTTTAAATTTTGCTTGTATTTGGAGGGATTTTGTTTTGTTTTGTTTCCGCTATATGGATTTTTTCAAGAGAGTGAAATCTGTTGGGAGTTCTTCCTACAACCTCTGAGTTGTGTTCCATACTCAGAAAGGCCTTCCTTATTCTCGGATGGTATTTTAAATTCTCCCAGTTTTTCTCTGGTACCTTTAGGATCCTAGTTTTTGTGAGTTGATAATTGAACCCTCTGGAATTCAGTTTAGTCAGGGGTGAACTAGGAGCTACCCAGAGGACCCACGTCATTCCTCCATAACCCAGGCACCTTCTGCTGGCCCGAGAGCTACCTGTCATTACGTCGAGCTCAGAAATTTTAGAAAATTCTATTCCTTTGCTCTGTCAGTTGGGGCAGGGATATTTTTCTGAGTAAAGTTTTAAGTTAGAAAAGGACTACATTAGGAGGACATGGGGAGCCCAGCAAAGGGGTCGGCTGGCCGCTCCATCCAGGAGACCCCGATGGGGTTTTTTGACTGACAACCCATCGGCAGACGACATTGTTTCCTGCCATCCCTGTCCCCACTGAGCATATCGAGCACAGGTGGCATGGAAGGGGTGACCTGGACCATGTGAGCGGGGTGGCCCACACAGAGGGCAGCGGCCGCCCCCAAGAACGATGTCCCCCAGCCCCCGCGGGGGCAGCCGCCTACCTGCAGGTTGCTGTTGACTCTTTCTGCTCCACACTTGTTGACGCGCAAATCACACTTGGAAAAACAGTCGAAGAAATTGCAGTCTCCGTCTCCCGTGCAGTTCTGCTCGAGAATTTCCCGCATTTTAGGTTCAAAAAAGGCCATGTCCACGTCGATGGCCACCACCTGCAACCAACACAGCACACGGCCATCAAGGGACACCGAAGCTCAGCACCGCGGGGGCTGGGGCACCCTCGCTCGCCGCTGGCAGTGCAGATGCCTGTGGGCTGTGGTAGGGCAGAACACTGCCTGCCGGAAAGGGGAACCCGGGCTGTGCTGGGGGCACCAGCTTTTGTCACACAACCACCTGGCACTGACCATATTGCAGAGCTTTGGCTGCAAAAAAGGACATTTGCGGTCACTGGTGAAACCCTAGGATTTGGAACTATAACTGGAAGTATCGTTTTTCAACCTCAAACACGTTCTCAGCTTTAAAAGTAGGATCTCTGAGGGGCGCCTGGAGGGCTCAGTCAGTTGAGGGTCTGATGCTCGGTCAGGCCGAGATCTCAGGGTCCTGGGATCGAGCCCCGGGTCCGGCTCAGCACTGACCACAGAGTCTGGTTGAAGACTCTCTCTCCCTCTGCCCTTCCCCCCGTGCTAGCTCTCTCTCTCTCAAATGAATAAATAAAACTTAAAAAAAAATAGAATCTCCGATATGTCTTAAAGATAAATTAATCCCCTCCCCATTGCTGCATCATTTTGGTCTCTGACCTTCAAGGTTCAGCCTCATAAAAGCTGTGAGACCCAGAGAATTTACCTCCATGAGTATCAATGAAGAAACCGCCCTCCTGGGTTAGATCTCTGGGTGTGATGGCGACAGCAGGTGGGCAGGACCTACGCCGTCTACTTGTGGCCTATCTGTGACCTGAATCGACCGGCTTCCCACTGACTGCAGGGATGGAAACTTGGCTGCAAACGGCAGCATCAACCTTCTCGCATTAGGGCTGATGCACATGGACCCGGGTCCAACAGCATCAAATACGAACTGCCAAAATGCCAAAATGCCACTGTCATCAGGAGCCCATGATCGACCACCTGGAATTCCAGATTTCTCTTCTTGGCTTCAAACCAAATAGGCTTCCAAACCAGAAAAAAAGAAGAATGTCTACATTATGCAGATTTCGCTCCACCACCTGAATTTAAAAAACAAAACAACAACAAAAAAAAGATCTCAAACTTGATAAAACCTGGATTCTGCCCAAATCAAGCAGTTCGTAGCTTCTAGGCATTAAAAAAGCTTTCAGAAGACTTGATGAATTTGATGGCATCTGTGGGGTCTCACAAGCCTTCACAGGCTGTCCTCCGAGCACCAGCCCTTCCTTCTGCCTTTGGTAGCATCTCAGCAAGGCCTCCTTGGCTGGGGTCCATTTCCTCTGCAACTCAGCTGCGTTAGAAGCTACATTCCCCAGTTTGGGTTTTTGTGGTTCACTCAGGAGTGATGCCAGAGGCATCCCCCTTCCTTGGGGGATGGGTCCGTAAAACAGAAGAGGGAAAATAGTTTCTTTCAAAATATATGGAAGATAATGAACATAAAAAACAGGAAACTTTTCCCTACTTAAGAGCTTTGCCTAATGACTAATTCAGGCAGAGCAAACAGAAATTACACTTTTAATCAATTTTCCCTATCTCGTTATTTAGCCAGAAGAAATAGCTAATTTCACTATTTACCATAGCTAATACACTAAAAATATATTGGGCTGTGCTCATGAATTTATTGTCCTTATAATTTATTAACAGGACCACAGGACCTCCCTCCTTGATATACTTTCTGGCAACCTCCCCAGCCTTCCCTGGGCCCCTACACACACTTTCCGCTCCTTGTGACTTCTCACTCCCATTCCTGATTGTTCCCTTCTCATCTCCCAGGGAGAGCCAGATTTATTTTTTAATTTTTAGCGTACAGTGCAGAACGGATTACGGCTATTGTAAGCATAACTCCACACACCTAAAATAAGAGCAGCAGCCGACAGAAGGAACTGCCTACGGCTTCCTTAATCCTATCAGGAGAACCTAATGTTATCCCTGCACAGAAGGACATAACTCACACCTTCATCAAACTCATCCCGCTTCAAACTAGAAGGGGTCAATGAGAATTGTTTCACTCCCCACGGAAAGATGTAACTCTCACGTAGGACACGTATGGGATTGAAAGGAGCACGTGCTAGCCATGTTTTGGGGACACAAAGCAGTGGTGTTTCCCAGTTTTTCCTTTGCAACCGCAGATAAATTCTCAGGACCTGTAAGTGGGGCCCAGAGATAGGGAGTGACTGCAAGTCACCACATCCCACCCCCAGAGTGTCAGACCCAGCAGGTCTTGGTGGGGAGGTAGAAAATCTGCATTTCTAATAAGCTCTCTGGTGATGCTGACACTGCTGGGTTTCATTTAAAGTTATGAAATCATAGGGCAGGTTAACTTCTTGAAACTCAGTATCTGTAAGGAGGTCAATAATGCCAGGGTTGGCCAAGGGGGACCCTCTGTCCTCCCTCCCCATTTGCCCCTGAGAAGAGGAGATGAGCTCAGGCAGAGACAAGGGCCTGGGTGCCCCAGCACAGTCCACAGGGTCCAGTCTGGAACTAGGTCAAAAATCGCAGCCATTATTTCATTGAACAAATATGTCGTGCCTATCTACACAAGATGCTGGAAGGCACAACGCTAGTGCAGTGCACCAGCCATCAACGTGCCATGCTCGTTTTCCCTTTCCCCCAGCTCCTACAGCTTTTCCTGGGAACCCAGCCCAGTCAGCTTCACAATTCCCTCAAATGTTACTGCCCCTGTGGATTTCCACTCGCTGACACTCCGTAATACTCACTGGATGAAAAAACCGGTGTCAGATGAGCACGGGCCCCGGAACTGCCAAAGCCGGTGGTGTGAGCAGACATGCCACACCCCCTTTCCCAGGGCCTTGGGGTGCCCAGTTTCCCAGGACTTCTCTGAGAAAGAGAACGGTGGTCCTTCATGTCCTTTACATAAACTTACTGCTCATGAATTAGGGAAGCTTGGCCAGAATTTCACCTCCAAAAAATATGCTGGTGGAGTCCTGGGGTGTCCCTCCCCTTTACAGCTTGGACCATGTGTAGAGGTCTCGTGAAGCTCGGGATACTGTGGACGGAGCTGAACGCCTCCAGAGTGCAGAACCTTCTGGAACTTCTCAGGTCTTCCCCATCCACACTTGGAGCGACCCCTGGCTTATCAATCCCTCTGGGGCTGTCAGGGACCAGGAAGGCATTAGGACAAAGCAGTTTGGGCCAGTTGCCGCAATGCTCTTTACAGTGACAAAGGCTTGACTGGGGAAGGGGATGACCCAGGAGGCAAATTTAGTTTTCTAGATTTCAGGCTGTTTTAAGAAGGCATTCCTATGCCACCTGCCACGAAAACCCTTGGCTGGAAATAAGAGCGCCCTCTTTTTTGTCCCTTTCTGTTTTTAAACGGGGTGAAGAGCACCATTCTTCCAGGACCCTGCACGCTCAGCGGCCAGCCCTCTGCTGTGGCTGAGGTCAGCTTGGCCTCACTTGCCAGCATCGCCGTTATGAGCCACCTTGTCGCAGCCTAGGAGGGGAGGACCAGAACACAGCCCGCTCCCACTGCCAACTGCGCACCCACATCTACTTCTTCTTGAGCAGTCCTGGCATTTGTCCCAGCACAGTGGAAGGACACCTGCATTCGGGCACCCGGGTCACCCGAACAATAATGCGACGCTCGGGTTTAGCCTAGCCGGGGTGAAGAGGGAGGGGGTTATCGTGCAATGAAACATGGGATTCCCTCCGGCTGCTTTCCCAGCACGTTTAATTCCTTGCACACCTGTGTTGACCAGAGTGGGAGACGGACTTCACCGACCCTCCACAGAGCAGCCCAGAGCCAGACACTTCCACACAGGCAGGTCCTTCCCCGTGCAGAAAGCACCAGAACTCCAGCCGTCCCTCTAGAAGTCTCACCCGGGGAAGGGAAACTAGAACCTGTCCAGGAGGAGTGTATCAGGAAAAGCCTGCCACAATCCTAGAGCATCGTCCAGCAAAGCCCCCAGAGGCCAGCTTTCTCTGTCATCCTCTGGAGCTCCGCATCTCCTGAAGACTGCTTTCTGCCTTCAGCAAGAGCTTGCTTTCAACTTAGATCTTTGGAGAAACCAGAAGAGGCACGAGGGAGGACGAAGCCGCTATGGGTGCCTTCGTTATCATTCCCAGTCCTGGGAGGGGCAAGGCGCCTGTGTTCCCCAAAGTCTCTCGTTCACACCCCAAAGGAGGTGCCCTGGCAGGTCTGGCTTGTCCAGGCCAGAAGCTTGCCCAAGGTTGCAGTGCCCCCCGCGCCAGGTTTCAGAAACCTGCTCCTAGATGCTCCGGCCCCCGCACGACACCCACGCCCTCCCCGTGCCACTCACCGTGTAGTCGCTCCTGATGGCAAAGTTTTCTGGCTTGACGTCGCACAGGTGGAGGCGGTGAGAGAAGTCGTCCTCAAAATGGCTCACCATGTCCAGGAAGCTGAGCGCCATGTCGCTGACGGCCTTGGCCTGGCCCCGGCCGCCCCGGGGCCCCCCCGCCGCGCCATCAAGGGGGAAGAGGGCCCGGTGGCGGGGGCTGCCGGCTGCCAGGTACTCCACGGCGTAGAAGTGGCCGCAGGAGCCCAGCACGGGCAGGGCGTGCCGGCTCAGGTCCTGCAGCAGACGGAAGAGGACAAACTCCTCCTGCTGCAGCAGTGACCACAGGCTGGCCAGCTGGCCCCGCCACCGCGGCCCGCGCCCGCCTGGCCACAGGGGCCCCAGGCTGCCGCCGGGCAGCTCCAGGCCCAGGGCGTTCTTGACCTCGCCGGCCACCAGCAGCAGCAGCTCAGCCTCCGGGAAGTCCCGGGCGCCCTCATCGGCCGCGTCCTCCAGCAGGCCGAGAGGCGGGAAGCTGGAGAAGGCCTCCTCCTTGGACTTGAGGATGACGGGCCGGCCGCGCCAGTCGGCCTGCAGCACCTTCTTGCCGCTCTCGTAGTACAGGCAGCGCCGGTACAGCAGCTTCCCCGCCACGCACAGGTCCTCACAGAGGTCTCCCACCAGCGCCCCGCCCTCGTAGTCCCGGCACTGGAAGGAAGGGGACAGCGGGTCACAAGGCAGGAGCGGCCGGGCTCACGCCAGGCAGGGGAAGGGAGGAGGCAGGGTCGGTCCCCGCCCAGGGGGCTGTAATCAGCAGTTGAGAGACACCTCATGGATGTGACCCACACGGGCTGTTTGCGTCAGTGGGTGATTCACTGAAAGTTAGGATTCCTCGCGGCTCAGTCGGTGAAGTGTCTGGCTTCGGCTCAGGTCATGACCCGGGGTCCTGGAATCGAGTCCCACATCAGGCTCTCTGCTCGGCAGGGAGCCTGCTTCTCCCTCTGCCTCTCCTGTTCCCCCTGCTTGTGCTCTCTCTCTCTCTCTGACAAATAAATAAATAAAGTCTTTTTTAAAAAAATTAAGTGGAAGGGAGCCTGGGTAGCTCAGTGGGTTAAAGCCTCTGCCTTCGGCTCAGGTCATGATCCCAGGGACCTGGGATCGGGCCCCCATCAGGCTCTCTGCTCAGTGGGGAGCCTGCTTCCTCCTCTCTCTCTGCCTACTTGTGATCTCTGCCTGTCAAATAAATAAATAAAATCTTTTAAAAAAATAAGTGGAAGTGCTAAAAGAGTGTCTCATATTTATTACATTATTCAATGAGGCCCAGGTCTTCAGAATCAGGATACTGGAGGCGAGATGTGGGTCCCCCCACTGTGCCCCTGTCCAGCTACGAGATGCTGGAAAAAGCCTTCCACCAGCTGGTGACAGTTCCCTCAGCTGTCAGAGACAGGGCTGGCCAGGTCAGTAGTCACTGATGCCGGCCACATGGGCAGGTCGCCCTGGGGAGCTTTGAACCTCCCCATCTAAGAATGGCTAAGTCAGATCTGGGCAGGGGGGTCCTCTTTGAGCCTCACCTGGGGTCAGAAGAGCCACAGTAACAGCCCTTCCTGCAAGCATGTTCCCGCAGCTGGGTGTCTTTGACACCCAGGGGTGAGACCTGTAAGGCCAGCAGGTCTGGAAGGATGGCAGGGGTTGGGAGGAGCACCCTGTGCAGGAAATAGAAGAGGCTGCATGGTCAGTCGTGTCAGCAGGACTGGAGAGAGGCACCAGGGACGCCTTTCAGAACACGGGAGCTATTCTGGAAGCACAGGGTGCTTTTGGTCCCTGGGGGCGGTGAGGAGGGGTCAGGAGCCCTCAGATGGCGTTTCTCCTAAACTTCAGCGGCTCTCAGAATGGGTTCCACACGAGGCGACCAGCGGCCTCCCCAGCACACCACAGCCATCCTAGAAAGACAGACGAACCAGGCCCTGGCTGGTGGTCCTGCTGGGTTGCGGTCGAAGATGGAGGACAGTATACAGCAAGGTGGAAGACTGTTCCTCTGTTTTTGGTTTTAATCTGTCAGGAAAGCTAACCCCCTAGACCCATCCTTACTAGGAACTACCTCCATCTGTCCCCTGACAGGTGTGTCTTCCTTCCACGTGAGCAGATGCTGACCTCCCTTCCTAGAAGTTCTGCTGCCCAGGAGATGGGGCAGGGCATCCCCCTCGCTCCCCTCAGGTGACAGACAAGGGCCTCCATGTTGTTTCCCTCACTGTCACATGCACCACAAAGTGCCCTGAGTGAACAGCCGCACCTAGAGAGTGGCACCACGCAGACAGCAGGGGCAGGGCCCAGAGTCACAGGCTGGGAGCGTGGCCTGGCTGGACGGTGACCTCCTGAGCAGACGACACCCTCCGCACCCCCCGCCCCCGGCTCTGAGGCTTGGATTCCGTCCCTGCGTCACCAGTTTGCCTCCCTGGCTCGGTTTTCAGACCGGCCGAGTGGGAGAAGCGTGTGGAAACCAGTTATTTACTCAAGTGCGAGGCGTCCCGAGATGCTGCTCCAGAAATGGGCCAGTGACATGCTCCGCAGAGACTCTGGTTGTGCCACGCCGGTCAGCTTTGCTTTGTGAGCCGCTCAAACTCAGACAACTTGCTTCCAGGGCCCGGATGGAGGAACGAACCCAAAGGCCCCGAAGATCTGAAATCTACAACGTTTTTGTGACCCGCGGGGCCTCATGTGGTACCAAGCCCCACTGGAGGGTCCTGAGGTGAGTTACTCGGCTCCGTGTGAACTTGTGTACACGTGCCACAGAACTGTCCGTCGCTTTGATTACTGGATCTGTTTCCGTATGCCACATGTGAGGTCAATGATCCACATTATTTTTCTAATGCCCAAAAAGGGGGACTTCAAAACCATGCCCGGCTCCAGAGTGTTAGCTAAAGCACTGGGGACCTTTATAAAGACTCTAGGTCAATTGTTCAAAGCACACATCACCAGAATGTTTATTAAAAAGAAATATTCCTGGTTCTTAAAACAAGTATCTGGATTTTTGGGACCATTTTAGGCAATAGCAGTCCACGCCACCTGACCCGATCCTGGGGCTTTCTGCTGAAGGACGCTCCTGGGAGCCATCCCTCCTCTGTGGGCTTCCACCTTCGTGTATCACACCTTGGATGGTGGGTGTGTCGCACTGGCCAAGCACAAGGACGCAAGTGACGGAGACCTGTGCGCGGTCATAACCGGACCCCAGAGCTTGGGAGGGCCAAGCTGGGCTGCCGTTTTTGTCTTTGGAAAACACACGCCCCTGATGGCTCTGTGTTAACAAACACCTAGACATCCGTGTTAAATACACGTGATGCTGTGTTCGTCTTGCCATTTAACAGAACACATGCTGGTAAAATGCCATCCTCTGAATTCCACGGCTTGGAGTCAGGAAATGAGTGTTGAAAGGATCAGGACCCTTTGAGTCACTCGCTCTCTGCTTAGAATCACCTCCTTATCGCGCCTCGTAAGACATGGCCACTGACTCGGGCTCCCCGGACCACTCTGGATATTCTCAGAGGGGAGGCGGGGATGAAAGGTGAAGTGTTCTCACTATCTGGTGTTTGCAGAGTTCCACATTTCTTTAGTAAACCTAAAAATAATTTTTATTTTTAATTTATTTAAAAATTACTTTGAAAATTATTTAAATTATTAAAAATTAAAAATAATTTTTTAAAAATAATTTTTTTAAAAAATTTCCTTATAGAGCCCCCAAATTCCTCTAAGTATGGTACCCCAAATTATTTGATTCAATTCCATAAACATCTCTGGAGTGTTGTCACATTTAGAATTGAATCCAAAGTGCTTCTGAATGAAGTACAGAACCTTCTGGTAAGAAGGTGAGTCCTGAGCTGGGAGCTTCAGAATCCCGGGAGAACCCGGAGAGAAGGGAGGAGACAGACAGAGTCCACTGTACTGTGAGCGGCGAGTGTGGAGGGTGTCAGCTACGATGTCCCAGAGCCTTTACTTTCATCCCGAGCTGTGGCCAACACTGCCACCGGCCAGGAGAGACACCTGTGGGCCGAGGAGACAGCTCCACTCCTCTGGGAGCGGGAACGGCCCTGGGCAAGGCCTTGCTGCTTCAGGCACCCATGGCCACCTTCAAATCAAGAAGGCCACGCTCCCAACTTCACCCAGCCGTGTGTGAGCTCAGCCCCTACCCAACTACAGGCACCAGGCTCAGGAATTCACAACACAGAGGCAGCTGCCTTCCAAAATCATGAGAGCAGAGTATGATCTGTACAGGGTCTGTAAACAGCAGGCTTGGCCCTGGGGCAGACTGGGTTTGCCTCCTGGCCCTGCCCCATACAGGCTAGTGGCTTGTTTCCAGGTCTGTAACATGGGATGCCCATGGTGTCACAGGAGACCTGTGAAGGTCAACCGAAGCCACAGGTGCAGAGGACCTGGTGGTCTCCACCAGAGAACCTACTTGTCTCCCACTTCTCCAGCCCTGGTCATGAGAGACTTCTTCTGGGACAGATGCACCCGAACTCAATTCTGAAAGCCTAATTGCAGTGTGCTTAGCAGATAAGGAGAGAGGGGGCAGTTCCTCTGCAGGGAATAAGCCTTGCAAAGGGCCAGAGTTACAAAGCAGCGTGGTGTGTTCAGAGAACGGGATATGGTTCAGGGTCGTGGAAAGTGAGCGCAAGCCCCTGTGTGTGACCTATCAGGCTGTCCTATGAAAAAATGCCGTGTCTCTGCCAGAGAAAAATGCTTCTACCCTGCAAGGGCCAGATCAACCTTCCCCAGGTGGGAGAGGGAGGGGGGAGGCAGCCCGGTGTCTCCTGGGAATCCTCATCTCCAAGCTCTGCCCGCAGCTCCCAGTCCACCAGATCACGTGCCCCATCCTCTCTCCCACTGGCTCCCCACCACAGTGTTTTCTACAAAACTCTCCTGCATTGATGAAATCGAGTCCAAATCGAATTAAAATCTATACAATTTTGCCCCTGCATGTTCGACAGCTGTTCCAATCAGGAGTTGCGAGACATTTTAAACAATGGCATAATCATCGAATTGGGCATAGAGCCTATCAGTTTTGGAGGGGCACGTTATTTGGGGCTGTTTTCCTGAAGCTTGGGGTAGGAGTGGCCTCCCGCAGAGCTGACAGCTTCTGGGCTGCAGTGTCAAGCATCCGGAAGGCCAGGAAGCAGAGTGAGGTGCCCAGGACCCCGGAGGGCCTCCACTACCTTAGGGGAGGTCTTGGGTTTATGATGTAACTTGTGGTGCCCGCGTCACCCCGCTCGTCATAGGAGGTAGCTGACACTAAGGCAGGGTGTGCACTGTGTGGTTGTTCCAGAGCGGCTGCTCGTTGTCCTTTCCGGTGATGTGCGTTAGCCCTGCAGGTCCCGCTCTCTTAGAGAAACCGCAAAATTCTGAGCCGGGGCTCCACCGGCTCCTAGAGCCGCGGGGAATCTGCAAGTTCCTTTGGCATGTCTGTACCTCCTAAAGCCCGAGAAGAATTAACTTAGCCTTCAAACACCAGTGAACTTAAAGGACAAACTACAGGTCTACAAGCTAATTAAAAACTGCCGTCGTGAGAGCAACGGTGAAATCGTGCAATGACGTCCTACTGAGGTGGCTGCACTTGAACCCGTGGAAGTGGTTTGTCTGCGCGAAGTCGGTGTTCAAAGTCCCTTTTCTCTGAACACGACGGGCGCTGCCAGCATGAGGACAGGCACGTCTCTGCCCCCGAATATGCAGCATCCAAACCCCACAGGTATCGCATTTTAAAATAAACTGAAAAATACAAAAGCAAGTTAACGAAGTCTCCTTATTGTTGACGGGCCCTTTCCGGTTGTGAAGACTCTGGATCCACGTCTGCAGACCCTGTGCATCCCTAAGCTTGCGCCCGGAGCTCCCAGTCCCGCGAGGAACGTCCCAGTGGCCTGTGCTTAGAATCCCTCCAGCTCGTATGGTGGCTCTCAGGCAAAAACAAAACCCGTCCACTCCAGTCAGAGAAACTGTTGCAGGGGTCTCAGAGGTCATGCCCGAGGGCTGGGTTTTCTCCTGCAAGTTCGTTCTTGTTTTTAAGGAGCTCGAAGTCTCTGCCCTGTTAGCAAGACAGCCCGAGCTAGAACTGCGCTCCTGGGCGGTGAGCTGGGCGCCGCCGCGCCTCGGGGCAGTCCGCCTGTCGCTGCGCAAACCTCTTGACCTCTGGGTGGCTCAGAAGATACACACTGCAAACACGGCCGGAGCACCAGAGGAACAGAGACAGTCCCCGCTGTAAAATCTTTCTGGATGCTGCAGTCCCACTGGGGCCGCGGGTTTCTACCACAGCAAAGAAAGCTAAGCCTGTCCTGTGAAAAAGCAATCTGTACTGGAGGCAGCTAAATTAAATTATGTCAAGACCTACAGAGCCAAAAGGGAGTTCACCCTTCTGAACAATGGAGCACGTGGGAATATTCTGGGGATGCCTTGAAAAGGATACACTATGGGAGGATGAAGAATACCCAGTAGGTACTTGGGATTTTCAGTATTGAGGAAGCCACCTGTTGTCACAGAGTCTCTGCTGTCCCACTGCTCAGGGTCCCAGAGAGGTCCCAGAGAGGGTCCTACTCTGCAGGACGCACTAAGTGCGTGAATCGGGAAGTTACTCTATGTCTCTGGGGCTCAGTTTTGCCATCTGTGAAGTGAGGCGAGTCCAAGCAGACCCCTCGCACAGGGGATGAAATGAACTAATACACAGAAAGCCCCGGGGCCTGCCCAGAGCAAGCCCAGCGGGGACCCGCAGCAACACCTCTCTGCTGCTGTGTGCAGTGCTCTGCCCACGGAGCGGGAGCCAGGCTAAGTGACGCTCCCCAGCCTGGGACAGCCCCCGACACAGCTCACGAGGAAAGGAGGGCTCTAGAAACCTCACAGGGGAGCTGAAGAGGGCTTACAGATGTCTTGATTATGAGATGTGCTGAAAAACCACAGCAGAGGAGCACAGCAGTCTGACTCAAAAACTCCAAAGCTAGAGGACCCAGGGCTCAACTCCTTGGAACAACGCCAGCTGGCTCTTCCAACTCTCCCCTCTCCCAGCGCCAAGAAGTGCGCTGAGCTCCCTGGGCAGGAGGGGGGCCACCTGGGGGTGCCAGCAGGCCGACTCCCAGCTTCTGGAGCTCTGCACCTTCGTCTCCAGACTCACCCACCGGCCAGCCAGGGCACCTGCCACACTGCAGGCCTGGGACACCAGCAAGAGGGCAGGACTCCCCTGGCTCTGGCAGGAAGGGAGAGGGCTCCCTCTGGCTCAGCAGCAGTGCACCCCTTCTGTGCTTGGTACTCAGATGGAAAGCTAATGAGGGTCTGGAGAGCAGTCAGAAAAATAACGGCCAGTTTTCTTGTTAAGGACAAAAGCCAGGCAGAATGAATTGAAAGTGCCTAGGCGCCTGGAGACAGAGGGCCGATTCAGCGTGAGTCCTGGGCGGCCACAATGCCAGGCTCTGCAGGCAGCCAGGGCCCAGCAGAGTCTGGGTGGCAGAGACGGTGGCGCCGTTCAAACCCTGTTCTAGTTCAGAGTGTCCTGGGGCCCAGGGAGCCAGGGTGCTGGGCGGAGCTAACACCCACAAATCCCGAATGGAGAAGGTAGACAGGGACGAGGCAAGGAGAGAGGAAGAGCGAGCCAAGCCCTGAGCATGAGTGAGAAAAAAATGGCCTCGAACAGGGTGCCCAGGTGACGTTCCCTGAAAAATCATTTCGCTGGGACGATGTCAGATGAACTTCAGGAAGACAGACAGAGAAAGTATTTCTGATTGTTCCTTGGGTAGGAGGTGAGACCAGCAGCCTTCAGAAGCAGAGCCTGTATCTCCAGCTTCATGTCAGACTAAACCAACCCCAGCTGGCTGCCATTAAGGATATATCTGTAGAGCCTCTAACCAGAATTGGTTTTAATTTATGAGCTGGAATGCTGGGGAAGTTATGATTAGCAATTACCTAAATTATATTGGGCCATATAATTTCCATTAGTTTTTTTCCCACTTAACCAAAGATAAATAAGTGAAAACAGCATTTTCATTTTTATGTAAAAGATTATTGTATTATTTTTGTAAACAGGTGTTCCACTCTGGAATGGGGGAATTCTTTATGTTCATTTAAGTAGTCAATCGGTCCCCCAAAAACAGAGTCTGTGAAAAAAGCCTTGTGAAAGGAATTTTTATACGGGTTACTGAGAAAGCTGATAAGTTGTTGCAAGTTAAAGAAAACTTGCTAGAAGGTCAGTGTAACGGTCCATTATGGTGGATAATGGTGACTGACAGACACGATGGAGGGAATCGGTGATGAGGGTTCCACCTGCACCATGAGCAATAAACGATCAGACTCGGAGAATATGATTTCTTTGAGTTTGTATATTTCACTCACTTCTTTAGTTTTTCCAATTTCTTAAGCTACGAAATTTTGAAAACTTTCAGTCTCAAATCCCCCACCCACATGTAAGCAATTGGACTGTAAACTTCCCATGCGTTTTTGGAAGATTTCTTAGAAAATAGATCATCTTTCATGAGAAATGCTTAGATAGATGGTCACTGTTTTAGCAAGTGAACAATAGCTTTAAAAACCAAAGGGGCAGCCTTTGCCCGCTGTCCTCACCTTTTCAGCTTTCCTTCTGGGACCTCTCCCTTTTTCCAAGTCTTCCTAACGCCCATAATCTTCCGGACCAAATGGAGAGACTGAGGAGCAGCCAACGTTTGGAAGGGATGGATAAGCATCTGGGGCCCGGTGCACAGCACAGCGGCCTGCCCAGCCAGCTAGGACAGCTCAGCCCCACGCTTGTTAGGACACCGCTGTCTGGACCCCACGAGGGGGTCTGCCGGGGTCTGCTCGCCTGAGCGCAGGGGGCCCGGGTCTCACAAACCGCGCCCTGGAGAGCCACGGCTTTGGGGCGCAGGGAGACAGGGGCCCTACCAGCCCTCGACGTTGGGCTCGGCGAGAGGCACCCAGGTTGGAATCACACAGCAGCCGCCGAGCGAGAGAACCCGAGAAGCAGAGGCGTGGTCCCCGCTGGCCCCGAGCCTCGCCACCCGCCCGCGCCCTCGCCAGCGCCTGCAGCCCGACCGCAGCACACGGGACGCCGGCACCGAGGGGCTGTCGGGAGACCCGGAGCGGATCTGCAAACTTTCCGAGCGCGGGCTCAGGGGCGGCAGGAGAGCAGCTGGGCAGGAGCACTATCTAGGGACAAAGGACCGATTTTGGCGAACAGGGAGAGACACCTCCGCGCGCCCGCAGACTCTCGGGCAGAGACGGGTCGTACGCACCGGGCCTTCCACGCACCGTGTCGGAACAGCCCCCCCACAACCCCCGGGGACCACGACCGCGCCCGACTGCCCCGCTCCCGGGTCCCGAAGAGGGTGTCCCGCCCCAGGCCCCCGGGGAGCGCGGCCGCGGGACCTACCAGCGCGGCCAGGATGCGCCGGCTCTTCTCATCCGTGCAGCGCTCGGAGAGGACGCCCGGGTGCGCGCGGAGCAGCAGTGCGGCCGCCAGCACCCAGCCCGCGGTCCACGCGGCGCAGACCAGCAGCGCGCCCCGCCCGCACCGCCCGCGCCGCCCGCACCGCCCGCACCGCCCGGGCCGGCTCCGCGCCATGACCCGCCGCCCGCGCCCCGCGCTCCCGGGGCGGCTCCGCGGCTCGGCCGGGCCCGGCGGGGGAGGGGGCGCGGGGGAGAGGCCGCGCGAGAGGAGGGGGAGGCCGGGCCGCCAGGCTGCCCGCGCCGGCCCGTCTTGGGGGTGGGGTGGGGTGGGGTGGAGTGTCCGCGGGCCACAGCCTGCGCGCCCTCTGGGGCGCCGGGGGAAGGGGGGTCCGCTCGCGGCTCCGGGGGTCCGCGCGCTGCTCGCCCTGCTCTGCCCGCCGCACCCCGACACCTTTCCACTTTTTTTTTTTTTTACACCTTTTTTGCAAGAAGACCAGTTCCCCTTTTAAACAGAATCCGCAGAACCCAAGTAGATCCAAACTCCCCCGGTTCCGACTCCTGGTTCCGCTGCGGACACATCTTTAATGCAGACAAGATCTACCCCCCTGCTCTGGCGGCCGCTCAGTGCCCACACACTCTTTTTACAGAGCAGCCCCCACCGCCACCCCGGGCCAGAGCCCTGGTTGCTCTCCTCTGCAGCTGCATCCCTGGCACTCCGCATTTACCCCTCTGCTGGAGTCCTCCCTCTCTCCCCTGCAAGTTGGGTTTCCTCCGGGCTCTTCCCGGGGCTGAGACACACGAGTGGGCCTAGAGCCAAGGGCTGGGACGGTCCGGACATCTTAGCGATCCCTGCCCTCCTTTCCCAGGCAGCGTCCTGCACCCCACCGCTGTGGTCCAGGGTGCCAAAAAACGCTGGGGCGTCCTTTACGGGGACAGAGAGTGCCACACTCTTTAAACGTTCCCACTTACCCCTGGCTAGGAGAAAGCAAGCGTTCACTCAATGTGTCTAAAGTGTATTTCTGTATATTTGTAACATCATCTGGAGGGCATGCTTCCTTGTTCCAATCCCAGTCCTTACATAAAATAGGCGGGCGCCTCCACCAACAGAGCGGTCTCCGGTTCTTGCCAGCCCTCTCCACCCCACCCGAGCTGCTCCTCCATTGCCTGAAAGCCTTTCTTCCCCAGGGAGAGAGTCCGGGGTGGGTGGTGTCCTAGGAGGTGAACTGTCACAGCGGCAGGCCTCTGAAAGCTGCCCCGCCACCCCACCCCGTGGCTCATGCATTCCCTTTAAAAAGCTTGTTCCAAGCCTATTCCGTGCCAGCCCAAAGCCATGGCCCTCCTGCCTGCTCTCCGCCTGAATTTCCATTCCTGAGTGTGGGAATCACAGGAACTGCTCCGGCCCGATCGAGCATTCTGTGATTATCCTTAGCAAACTGGCTTCTTAACCTTGCCTATTCTGCAGCTCACGGTTGAACCTTCATGGCTGGGTGGGAGAAGCCTCTAGGAATTGGGAAACATCAAATTAACAAACACTGAAGGAGCCTGTGGGGACAGGGCCGGTATTCCCTGATGCAGCAGACACTCGGACCGGGTCCCTCTGTCCACAGCAGTGATGGCTGCTGCAGCACCTTCTAAATGACCAGTTCTCCCACTTCCCAGGGCACCCCCGAGCAGAAGCACTACGGGGAGCATTTTGGTAAGCTGGCCCTGTTGGAATTGGTTGTCTCATTTCAAAATGGTTGTGGAGCCCAGAGAGCATCTGCTGGTTTTGCTTGAAAATCTTGATGGTGTAAAGTTGATCCCTATTCCCATGATTTTGGGGGTCTGGGGCAGGAATAGGAAGAAGAATGAGGTAAAGACGTGTGAACACTTACCCTGTACAACCTAGGAATAAAAATCACAGACCTTGAAGTCAGAGTTAACAACATTAGGATTTGCAAGTCAGCGTTTACTTTCCTAAGTTTTAAAAAAATGCCAATCACACTTCTTTTGGCATTTTATAAAGAAAAAAACAGGAGAACAAAATTATAACCCCCTAATAAAGAGATCCTTTAAATATTCAGCATTGTTTGGACACAGATGATACAGTGCTCTCTAGACCAAAATAAAGTCCTCAGAAGGCAGAACCTTGCAGGCTGCTGTCCTGCTGCGCGGTTTGCACACTGTGCAAAGCCAAGTGATGAGGTGGATGGGGCTGAGGCCCACCAGAGCTCCACTCACCAAACCCTTTTTCCCAGGGGGCCCCATGGAGGGGTGCCTTTTTGAATTCCCTGTCCCAAGGGGGCATTTTTGGGTATTCACACAAAGGTGACTTACAGGCCAGCTATGACCTTGATACTAAAGATCGTCCCCCGGAGCTACAAACACACAAACAAACAAACAAATGTGTAATTGCATGAGCAGCAGAACATGAAGCTTTGGCTTCACGAACAAAGAAAAACAAGTTAGGTCTCATCTCCCTGAGACCTGCCGGCTGCACTTTGGTGGCTCAGCAGGGCTTTTGCTGCATGATTCACAATGACTGGCAGCCTCTGTGGGCCAGGAGGAAGGGGGTGGGCGGAGCTGGGGAGTGGCTTGGCCCAGTGCCTGCTTCACATCAGGTTGATTTCAATAGGCTTTGACTCCCTAAAAAAAAAAAAAAAAAAAATTGTATGAGACCCAAAAACTACTTCCTCCTACTCCCTTACCCAAACTTTGAAAACGAGTCATAGTATTAGAAGTGGCTGGGCCCAGAGATCCCTTCAGCCAAGCTGCATTCATGCAGAAATTCACAGGGGAGTTTTCCTCTGTCTTGAAGGAGATGAAAATTTTGCTCTGCACGCCCCCGCCTCCGCCAAAACAAAAGTCCTCAAGCAGAGGGGAGGCCCGCGTGTTCTAGAGTCCAGGACCCATGCTCCGGGCCCCGGCATCAGGCACGCAGAGCTGAGGAAATACACTATGTGATCAGCGTTTGTTTGTTTTAATTAAGCACTTAGACTAGACTGGGCCATTCAGTTATTTCTTCTGTTAGACTACAGGCCACTTGAGGGGAAGCACGGTCTTATTTTATGTGGTAATCCCAGCCCCTGATCGGGTACCTGATACAAAGGGTTATCTGCTGAAGAAGTGACTGAAAGGTCAGAAAAAGTTGAGCCCCCTTTGGAATTCTTCTTGAGAAAGAGCTTTTACCACATAAATATTTCTTTCTGATTTCCCCGAGGCTAAGTTGAGCAATCCAGACACATCACAGGGCTACGAATATGTTTGAACATATCTTCTGGGTTCTGAACTCGTCAAATGGCAGTTGAACTTGTCACTGAGAAAAGAGCATGAACACTTCACTTCTAGGCCATGACGGGGAAGAGAAAGGTAAAATGCTGTGTTTCCTGACTTTGATTATACAAGATAAATAGGTTTCTTAGCATAGGATTCTGCTACATTTGCACATACATTGAGCTTGTAAAAATATTTTTCTTTCTCAAAGGACTTGGATAATGACAAATATGCCTGTTTTTAATACACTGCTTGACATATTCACATGCATTCGCTTGTACGATGCTCCAAGCAGCCTGGCAGGTGAGTGGAGTGAAGGTCACTATCTAATACTTCACAGGAAAGGGCATGAGCTCTTTCACAGGCTCTCTTAGTGCTGGGGGCATGTTAGAGGCTTCTAGACTTGATCTTCTGATTCCTGTTTCAATATCCGAATAGCCACTCTACAAGTGAGAGTGTAAAATTTCTCTGTGTATCACCATTACTTGTTGACATGTCATGCCGCTGGCCAAGAAAGTTTCAAACGTTTGTCATCTTCAACAGTCATTAGCAAAAGTTATCCCTGGAACAAGATTTCCTATGATCTGTTTCCCATCCCAGCAGTGGTTGCCATGTTGGCCCCATGGCGAACTACAGAAAAGGCGACGCCACCTTGCAGAAGGTGGCGTGTTCCGGTCACTTGTGAACCTGTTGTCGGGTGAGGGAAGGTCAGCCTGAAGAAAAGAGTGGATCGTCAAATTCCCACCCCACTCAAGGAGAATCTCTCTTCCAACATATTGGCACTTCAGACAGGTTAACTACACCATCATTTGGACTTGGCCGTATCTGTGTTCTTATCCTGCTCTTGTCTGAAGCGATCGGCCCTACTTTACAAATGTGAGCTGGGTTTGGGGAGGAAGGAGAAGCGATCCCGTGTCTGGGCCAGCCTGGGTCGGGGATCCGGGTTTAAGTCTCTCTGTGAATCCTCTGCAGCCAGAGGTCAGCGCCCCAGGACGTGGGGGACGGAAGTTAGGACGGTAAAAAGGAAGGCACGGCTTCATGTGCAGTCTTGCCTCGCGTCCTCAGATCGTCTGGTTTACGAAGCTCAGCACCCATTTACCCTGACTTGAGAGAATCCAACATTCTGAAAGGAGCTGGGCAAAGTGGAGGCTTCAGGATGTCCCTTACAACACACATGTCCCTTACAGCAACATGTCCCTTACAGCAACCAGTTGGATGTAAGCCGCTGTGTATAGTAGGGATTGTTTACATACACCTCCATCTCCCCTAAGTGGACGATGTGTGCCGCCATCGGAAACCGGGATGTGAAGTCTGTTTGATCGGAGAGCGGTCACAGGAGAATTTGTCATTTTCCCTCCCTTGTCATCACTCACTCCATGTCTCCTTGGGGGAATCACGCCCTCTCCCACTCAGTCCCTGGGCTTGATCTCCACTGACAGTGGGGGGAGGGGGAGGGGGAGAGGGCTTGAGACAGAGCCTGCTGATGAGGCCAGCACATTCCCCAGCCAGCCGGCAGGAGCCCCAACAGGCCACTGAGAGCCAAGGGGATGCAGTCCTTGTTGGAACTGGTGGGAGAGAGGGGGCTCCTTTCCCTGGAGATGCAGGCACCAGGGACCACGGCAGAAAGAATCTGTGGGAGAATAAGGCCAGCATCCAGGAAGGATGGTGGAGGGCTGCCTTTGAGCACCTGCCTTTCAGTTTCCCAGTCCATAAATTTCCCAGTCCATAAGATCTGCAGGGTGGGTTGGTTTTCTGTCATTTGCAATGGAAAGAGCCTGAGCCAGTACAGACACTCACAATACATCTGAGTGAAGAAGCAAGTCTCAGAACATTACATCCCATCCAAGGCTCTCTTTTTTTAAATGCATATCATATATTTTTGCACGTCCACCAAAACTTATGTAAAGAGACATCAAATCATTT